TCCTCCTACTTTCTGAAATTAATGGAAAGTTCTGGGCGACTGATTAGAAACTATTTTAACTTTTCGTTTTTAGCCGTTGAGCTCCATTTACTCCCATTCATTGAGGACTCCCTCACGGGCGCCCTCTGGGTGCACCTTCACGGTCATGTTTTTCATATAACAGTTGAAATAGGAAGGTGCCAGGCTCCTCATAAACCGTCTCTGTCTCCGTCCGTTCTCACAGAAGTTTTAAGCCGTGTTTCATTCCGGATTGCTTTTTGAAGAACGTTTACTACAGGGCAGCCAATCAGAACAGAGCTCATTTACATATATCACTCTTAAAGGGACAATCACAGTAAACAGCCTGTTTATTTCAAAGGGATAAAGAAAAGGTTAAAAAAATATTTATGAATGGTTTTGATACATAAAACTGCACAAATCTCAGGGATAAAAAAATAAAACGCGACACAAATGCGGGAAACGGGCCTTTGAGAAGTTCCTCTGAGCTTCCGCACAACGATTACGAAAGAATATTTGGAGAACGACTTCCTGAGAGTCTGAGATGAGCCTGTTGGATCTGTGTAAACAAATGATAATTGTGTTTCGTCAAGGGGATCTCAGAAGAGTGCAGAGTACAAACACAGACAGGGTTGCGGGTGCCGGGGGGGGGGTGGTGCTGTAGGGGAGGGTTGGTTTCGCTTGTTTTGGTTTGTTGGGGTAATTTAAGTTTTCAGGAATTTGATAGTGGAAGAATGTGGCTGCCACTCTTCAGCTGATACGTCCAAACTGTGAAAACAAGACTGAGCAGAGCTGAATTTCACAGTTCACGATTCTGTTCGGCCACAAACGGGACGTCCTGAGAGCGGCTGAGAGTTTCACGAGGACGGATCACCAGGCACTGATGACCTCAGCGTGAGCTAAAGCGCTCCAGGCCTAATCATGTGAAAATCCATCCAGAATGTTCTGTAGATGGTTCTATAAAAAAATCCTTTTGAAAAGGGTTCTATAAAACACCAAAAGAAGAGTTCCACTATCATTACAAGCTTCACATCGTAACAATAGAAGAACCATTTTTGGTGCTATATGGAACCCTTTTCAAAAAGGTTCTAAATAGAACTATCTACAGCACATTCTCCATCAACCTGAAGAACACTTTCAGGACGCAAAGAACACTTTAATCATGGTTCTTTGAGTGTTCATAGTTCTATATAGAACCATTTTCTTTACTAAGGAACCCTTAAAGAACCATTTTTGGGTGTGTACTATCGTCATACCTTCATCAGTATAATGAACCCTTGAAGAACCATCTTTTTTAATTATGTGAAAACCCATTCTGGGTCGTCACGGTTATGGTTCTCATCATCAAACTGCTAAAGTGTGAACATCTTTAAACTAAGAGTGGCAAAAATCTAATGTCACAAAACCTGAAGACAATTTCTTAACACACAATATTGATCATGATATTTAGATTTGATAAGCTGGAACAGACCAGAAAGGAACTAGCAGTGCTACATTTAAAATACCACCAAAAACTATGAATATCATGAATTTTATTCAATATTTCACTCACTGTGCTGCGCTATATTTGATTAAACAGGCCTAATTCCACCCTCTCTAATGAAACACGCACATGGTCCGTGTTCTTTAAGCACCGACGTACTCGGAAAAGCATGTTGTGACACAGTTTATCGGAATCAAATTGAGGTTTTAACAAGTTAATTAAAATGATGAGTCAACTGAACTTTGTATGGTGAGTTAACAGCACAAGAATCTGTGTCTTAAACTCTGTCAACATACTGCTTGAAGTTTAATTAACTCAAAATGATAAGATAGGCAACTGCTGGGATAGGCTCCAGCTCCCCCCACAACCCAGAAGGATAAGCGGCGTAGAAGGTGTATGAGAAGGCAGCCTGGTGACAAACTTTTTTCATGTTAAAATCCCAAATTCTTTTTACAGTGTCTGAGTAATTCGCAGACTTGCAAGACACGTAACATACCGAACAAACCAGACGAGCACAGAGACTGAACACAAAAGAAAATAAGATATGAACTAATTGATAAATGAAATAAAAAAGGAGAATAAATTGTATAAAGAGTAAGAGAGCAGATAAAAGATCCACATCTGTGGTGACATAATACCTATTATATGGTCCCGTTTACCGATTTAGTTATAAAAGTGTTTACATCTTAGATCTTTACAAGGATTCTGTTCTAATCTATTTAAACTCAAGGCATTAATAGAGATAGTAATAAGCTAAATATACATAAAATCATCATTTATGGGGTACTTTCTATTGGGAGGTGTCTGTCCCAAACCATAACCCCTAAATTTACACTTACTTACATCTTTTTCTTTCATTTTTTTTACGATTTTTAAAAATTTCTTTTAAAGAAAAGCTGAAAGATTTAGATTTAATGTGAGTTTAAGATAAAAGGTTTTCATATCACTACTGAAACACAGCTTTAGTATGTATTTTGGCCACGCCCCTGCATTTTAATTTATTTTAATAAAACAAACATAAGGTTTAGGGTCACTCAAAGCAAAAGGATTTTAGTCTAAAGTCTAAGATCAGTTAAAAGTCCCAAATGTGTTTCAGCTCTGACTCTGAACCAGTTCAGTAGAATCACCCATATTTACTGTAATACAGGGAGACAGGAAACATTTGTACAGGACACTCCTCCTCTGGAACAAGACCTGCAGCTCATTAACCACAGTGGACACTCACACTTTACACTTAACTAAAACCAACAAACCTCCCTCACCGCATTACAGCATAACAGCTCCTGTTACAGAACATTTATATGCACATATCATACCACCCTGTTTAAATATACACCGATCAGGCATAACATTATGACCATTATGGAACACTAGATCATTTATTGGCGCCTCCTGACCTGTCAGTTCTCTAATCAGCACTTTATTCACCCCAAACAAAACTCTCCACCAATCAGGCATAACATTATGACCACCTCCATGTTTCTACGCTCATTGTCCATTTTATCAGCTCCACTTACTATATAGGTGCACTTTGTAGTTCTACAGTTACAGACTGTAGTCCATCTGTTTCTCTAATACTTTGTCAGCCACCTTTTACCCTGTTCTTCAGTGGTCAGGACCCCCATGGACCCTCACAGAGAGAGAGGTACTGTTTGGGTGGTGGATCATTCTCAGCACTGCAGTAACACTGACGTGGTGGTGGTGTGTTAGTGTGTGTTGCGCTGATCTGAGTGGATCAGACACAGCAGTGCTGCTGGAGTTTTTAAACACCTCAGTGTCACTGCTGGACTGAGAATAGTCCACCAACCAAAAATATCCAGCCAACAGCGTCCTGTGGGCAGCGTCCTGTGACCACTGATGAAGGACTAGAGGATGACCAACACAAACTGTGCAGCAGCAGATGAGCTATCGTCTCTGACTTTACATCTACAAGGTGGACTGACAAGGTAGGAGTGTGTAATAGAGTGGACAGTGAGTGGACACAGTGTTTAGAAACTCCAGCAGCACTGCTGTGTCTGATCCACTCAGACACGTTTTGCTGCATATAACACCAATTGAGACCTGGCGTCCATCAGAATGGACGTTTACCAGCCAATCAAACAGCAGCTTAGCCCCACCCGCTATACTGGGGGGAAAAAAATCAACACACTGAAGTAAGGCATAGCAGAACTCCAGCCAAGGATTCAGAGTAAGGGCTCATTTGAGCTCATTTTATGGGTTTATTTTACTGTTTAGGGATGGATTGTGAAATAAAAAGTTAGATATCAATTCTAAAATAATGTTAAACACAGGATTTTATTAAATCTTATTGTCCATTACAGTGGACAGTGGGTCTTGATGTATGTTGTTCAGGCTAGTTTTTAGTGCTGCTGCTAAAACTTTACTTTGCTTCCGTACACAGTGTGTACAGAAAATACATAAAACTCAGTGTGTAATGAGATGAAAAATACTTATTCTACAGAGTAACAGCACCTGAGGTGCTTCAGTTAATTGACAATGGAAACATTTCAGAAACTGAAAGTTTGTCTAGTGATGATGAGAATGATAACAGACAGTGCAGGACCCTCAGGAGCAGGTTAGTGTAACTATCAGTGAAAATGTATTACTGTATAGTAAAGTTTGTCCTTTAAAAAAAGTCCATAAAAAATAAATATATAGCTACTTTTTGTTATTGATTCCAGGAGATGGGGATGAAGTTGTTGCTGAGACAGTACATGGTGATGATCAGGGCAGGAAAATGAGAAGAAAGTCTTATTTGGTGAAGATGATCCTTATGCTAACCCGACAAAGAAAAAAGTTATCCAGTGGCATCGTACTCCTTATACTCCTGCAAGGGAAGATTCTATCACAAACAGCACTGAACCATTAACTTTAAGGCCGACCGTCCACTGCAATGGACATTTTAAAAAATAACAATAAAAATATTATATTTGATTCTTTTTACTTGTCTTGTTTTAGAGTTCATTACAGACAGAAAACATACAAAATATATATATATCTATATATATATCTATATATATATCTATATATATATCTATATATATATATATATATCTCAATGGAACATAATTCAGGTCTGAAAGGGTTAAAAGAAAAAAAACCCACATTCCATAAATGGCCAAATTTAGTGTGCATATTCATTGGACATACTGGTAGATGTTGCTGGTTAGGCCTTGAATACAACAGCTTTCTGCTGTTTGATGTGTTAAGTGCTGTAATAAACTGGTATTTTATGTGCGCTTTGCTTTGATTTTGCAGTTTGGGTTCTAATTCACATTACATGCAGATTTACAGTTTAAAAAAAACAGACTTGCTTAGACAAATATTTTTTATTATTTGTGGTAACTCATATCTAAGAATCCCTCAAAGGTCAAATTACACATTCTATAAATACATGCATGCTGTAAACATTTACCCTGAAACATGCAGAGTCCAAGATTTCATGGAATTAGCAACGCAACAGGTGCATTTACTAGAATGACCACTAGGTGGAGACAAATCACTTCACAAAAAGCTCCACAGGTTTGCTTTCAAACAATTTAATGAAAAACAAAATCAGTTTTTTTTCATTGACTTTCATTTATTAATCCAGTGCATTTCATCACAACACAATCAGTAATGTGATTCAAAAGTGCATTCTTGTATTATTTCCATGCAGTAAATACAAGAGTTGGTCAAAAATGGATGCTCAATGTTGCCAATTATGGAGAAAAAAAATGAAGGTACCTTAAATGGTTTACAGGGGTGTAATAAGGACATTTGTAATCTATACACTCATCTTCAACATTCATCTGCGTCCAAGCTGCTTCTTAAAGGCTTTCAAAGACTTTGCCATCATTGGCGCCACTCCTAAAAAAGAAAACAGACACTGAAAATCAGAGGGGCAGGCAAGGTTCAGACTGAGGGGGGCTGGGAGTCTCAGATCTTCTATAAGGGTAAAAAGGAACCCTATAAAAGAGAAAAGACTGAGCTTGGGGGCTTCAGTGTTATTCCTTTGAATAAAATTTACATTTTCTGACAAAATAAATGCCCCTCACACAAGATGATGCCTTCTCTACATTTCCCATCGTGTTTAGACAGACAGACAGACAGACAGACAGACAGACAGAGATTGACTGACTGACTGGTAGACAGATTGACAGACAGACAGACAGATAGATAGATAGATATGTGTATACAGACAGACAGACAGACAGACAGATAGATAGAGATGGACTGACTGACTGACTGACTGACTGACTGACTGGTAGATAGATAGATAGACAGACAGACAGACAGACAGACAGACAGATAGATATGTGTATACAGACAGACAAACAGACAGACAGATATGGGCATACACACAGACAGACAGATAGATAGATAGATAGATAAATAGATAGATAGATAGATAGATAGATAGATAGATAGAGATGGACTGACTGACTGGTAGATAGATTGACAGACAGACAGACAGATAGATGTGTGTATACAGATAAACAGACAGACAGACAGACAGACAGACAGACAGATCTTCACTGTCATTGTTCAAAAACAATGAAAAACCATTTAGCAGCTCTAGAACTGACAGAAAAACACAAATAAAAAAAGAAAAGATAAATGAGCCCAAAAGACAAACACCATGTCTGTATATACAGACATACCAGCGCACAATGAAACGATATATAGTGCAAGAAAGCCAACAGAATGACACTGACTGAACCACGTTTGCATCCATTTACTGACTCTTCTCGAGAATCTTACACCTCACGGCTCAGTTGGTTTGAACTGCTCATTAACATTAGGAGCTCAGAATGAGGTTCACGTTGTTCTGTGCAGCTGAGATCTGCAGGCCGCCTGTTTAAAGAGATTATTTATGTTGCTCAAATGTTTAAAAACATTTAGCAAAGACAAAACCTGTCAGTCGCGCCCCACACTGTTCACGGCCCTAATATGCACCCTAAATAAGACAACCTGCTCTCTATGGGCTGCTCAGCTTAGCAGGAGGAAATAGTTTCAATCCTTTCATCTTTTCATTTGTTTTTGCAGGGAGGGCAGCAAATGTAAGGAAAGTCATTCAGCGCCATTACGGAAGCACAAGATTAGCATTAATGCTCAGGAATTAAGCCAGGTTTCCTGTGTATAATCCATACTTATACACCGTGGAGGAGCTGGGTGGATGGGGGGGGGTCAACCAGCTACCGGAAAAAAGCCTCTCAGATATGCTGTTGTGCTCAGACTGCCCTCATCACTTTACACAGAACACAGTCTCTATAACAAACTATAACCTCTTTCACTTTCATAATAAACATTTATTCATTTTATTACAGTTGTAATTATTTCAGGATTCGACCTGGTTTTGAATCAAACCGTGTTGTCAGTTACCATCCACCCCGATCGCGTGACTTCTAGACTCTGAGCTATTCTGTGGTTTCTGGCAAAACGCCCAGCTCACTAACACAGGAATCTTCCATCGTTAAGAACACTGTAAGTCATGAGCTGCTCAGCTGCTCACTGTATGGAACACTAGATCATTTATTGGCGCCTCCTGACCTGTCAGTTCTCTAATCAGCACTTTATTCACCCCAAACAAAACTCTCCACCAATCAGGCATAACATTATGACCACCTCCTTGTTTCTACGCTCATTGTCCATTTTATCAGCTCCACTTACTATATAGGCGCACTTTGTAGTTCTACAGTTAGACTGTAGTCCATCTGTTTCTCTGATACTTTGTTAGCCCCCTTTACCCTGTTCTTCAGTGCTCAGGACCCCCATGGACCCTCACAGAGCAGGTACTATTTGGGTGGTGGATCATTCTCAGCACTGCAGTAACACTGACGTGGTGTGTTAGTGTGTGTTGTGCTGGTCTGAGTGGATCAGACACAGCAGTGCTGCTGGAGTTACTTCAAACATCTCTCACTATTAACACAAAAAAAAGATGGTTCTTCCAGGGTTCTTTAGTACAGAAAATTGTTATATATATAGAATCATCAACACTCAAAGAACCCTTTGCATGATTAAAGGGTTCTTTGCATCGTGAAAGGGTTCTTCACATTGATGGAGAATGTGCATTAGATGGTTCTATGCAGAACCTTTCTGAAAAGGGTTTTTCTATTGTGACAATGACAAGCTTGTAAGAATAGAAGAACTCTTTTGAAAGCCATTTTCAAAAAGGTTCTATATAGAACCATCTACAGCACATTCTCCATCAGTCTGAAGAACCCTTTCATGATAAAAAGAACCCTTTACTCATGCAAAGCGTTCTTTGAGTGTTTATAGAACCATTTTCTTTACTAAAGAATCCTTGAAGAACCATCTTATTTAAGAGTGAATGAATATCACACCTGTTTTCCATCTTTTCTTTTAAGTGCACAGATTAGCTGTATTTTAGCATTCCCCATGATGGGCATGGTTGCCAGATCCAGTAAAAATCTCCAGTAAAAAGTTTGCTTAAAAGCCACCCACCATAAGCTTAAACATTATTCTCTCTCACGCCTGCACTTTCAAACTGGCCAAATTTGGCAGGAAAACAACGTACATGGCAACCCTGAATGGTGGACGAGTCACTGTACAAACACTCCACCAGTGAAAAGAGAAAGTACACAATTCTACATGAGCACCTGTTCTGCAGGTGTGCAGATCAGAACCTGTGTGTTTGACTTAATGAATTCTCGTAATGAGTATCTCTCACAGGTGCAGGGAAAGAAGATATCAATAACAGGCGATCTTAAGATCTTAATCCAAGGGGGATGGAAAGAGGCTGGTTCGCCTGGGGAGGGTTGCCATTTTATTTTGACTGTCCCCCTCATATCGAGCCCTGTTTATACACCATTTTACTTTATTAAACCATCCTTAGTAAAAGAAATATACAACCTGAGATCAAATTGGGTGCGTATACATGCACTCAATAATCCGATCATAATCGGATTTCTACAGTTATCCGATTATTGAAACGGTCATGTAAACACCATACTCCAATCTAGAAATCTGATTAAGAAATCCGATAAAGAGGCTGGATTTTAGCTCAGATTTCTCAGTGCATGTGAACTCTTACTCTGATTTCTATCGGATTTCTCAGTCTGCGCATGCGAGATCAGACGGTGGATGTCGCAAGATGGCAGCAAAACACTGTTGGAGAGGCGCTGAAACCAAACACGAAATAAAGGATTTGAATATTCTTCATCTTCTAGATGATGTTTGTTCATATTTTCAGGTAAAGTGGGCGATGTTTAAAAAAGCCGCTGCATGAAGTTTGAGTTTTACATTACGTTTACGTCACGTCTTCTTCTGTGAGTTTATTGGCTGGTTGCAAAGCTGATTACTGTCTGACTCATGTAGACCTGGAGTTTCCCCATCATCTGCTTATTCAAGTGCATGTAAATGTGTTGATCAGATTACTGACAAAATCTGATTTTCTGCAGTTATCAGGTTATTGAGTGCACGTAAACACACTCAGTGAGATTAAACAGGAAGCAAACTGACACTGATCTTTCTAAGAGCATGAATAAAACAGAACAGGCATCACGAAACATCCTCTACTGAAGACCCAACCAGCTTTCACAAGGCAGAGTAGAGTGAGTAGAAACAGCAGAATAGCATGCGCTCCCTAAAGCGAACAATGAGAACGAGCTCTACTCACTTCTGATCCTCCGTGGGTCTGGACACTGGCTGGATCCTGAGCTGGTGGGCTCACTGAAGCAGGGTCTTCCTCTACTATCATGACTCTTCCCACTGAAGAAAGAGTGTGGAGACAGGAACTACAATGACATCACTTGGCCACTTTATCACCGATATAAGAACTAATAGCTTACATAGTAACTTATATAAAGTCACTCAGACAAGGTGTCTCAAACTACCAGAGCTTCAGACATTTTCAATTTAACCTTAACCTCAACTGCAAATCACTTTTACCCCCATTTTTCTGGCCAAACGTTTATATCCGTCATGTAGAGCTGCACACTCTGAAAGAGGAACCATTCTAAAAAACCTGACGCGGCATGAATGCTGCACACTGAGTGCATATGACTGTAATGTAGCTACAGCTAAGTTGGCTATTATTCTAATTCAGACCGATAGTTAGTTAAATCTGCCTCTGTGGATTCATTCAGAATTTCTGGATTAAAATATAAATAAAATTATCAAACAAATTAATGAGAATGCTTTACTTTGCCAATACTTTGCTGGCAATGCTGTCAAATTAAAATAATTCTACTGTTAAATTCACAATTCACTGTTGTCAGATCAAAACATTGTATCTCCAAAATGGCAACTTTACTGGAGAAGGAAAAAAACTACTTTACTTTTAATGTAAGTCAATGGAACCAGACTTTTTTCCAAGTAATTTTGGGTCATTTCTTTCAGTCCATTTCCTCACGAAATTTCCACACAATATTTAGGACCACAGATATTTTCAAATTGTCAAAAAACTGAAAAACAACAAAAATGGAGATACAAGGTTTTGTTCCGACAGCAGCGATTTACTTGATTTCACTGAACACAAATATTTAAACACTCTGTATCTATAGTAGTGGTAGTTATTATTGTTCTTGTTAGAAAAATACTAATAAACACTGACTAAGATGTGCTTAAATGAGTGTAGCTAAATTTAACATCTGGGGGAAAAGAGACTTTTTCCCCCTGCATTTTTTCAACTTTGGACAAGACCACCCGTCCAATTTGGCATGATTTTGGGACAATAAGGTGATGATTAAGATGTCTACAGTGATCAGCTTGACTTTGCAGTCCTAAAATAAACTGAGTGCCTCGTTTTTTAAAAATCTCAATTACCAAAATTCTTTACAATGGATGTATCATCAGGTTTTGGAATGAACTCTTCAATTATAACAGCACATTATATGAGGTACATATTTTAAATGAAAGATAAAACATTACTCAGCATTAAGTCTTTAAGTGACCCTATTTAGTCCCACAACAGGGAAATTTCACCTCCGCATTTAACCCATCCATGCAGTGAAACACCATATACACACTAGGGGGCAGTGAGCACACTTGCCCGGAGTGGTGGGCAGCCCTATCCGCAGCGCCCGGGGAGCAGTTGGGGGTTAGGTGCCTTACTCAAGGGCACTTCAGTCACGTACTATTGGCACCTAACCCCCAACTGCTCTGGCGCTGGCTGACAGCCAGTTTATAATGAAAGTTGGTGCATCCTTAATTTGCATCTGCAGTAAACTCTTTACATACGGTGGGTTCTTTGGAGGAGCAATGCCACTGAAGAACCACTTTTGGTTCCCTAAAGTGAGAACTCCTTAAAAAAAACACACCCACTTTTCTGGGCACCATTTCTATATACTTATATAGAATATATTATACTATATTAGTATATGATATACAGTTCTTAGTTTCTACCCACAGGCTGTCAGGCTTCTGAACAAGCTGTGAAGCTGTGGATCCTTCCCTGTTACCATTCCACTCAGTCATTTTGTTAATATTATTTATCATATCACTGCTGCAACAATAACACCAAGTCACGTTAAAATGTATATATATATTCTTCTCAGATTATCCCTTGTTTAACATATTTGTACATAGCAGAGTGTTTTTATTACATAGGTCCCTCCTGTCTCTATACAGGGTGTCCCAAAAAACTGACATAATTTTGTAGTCTAATAACAGCCAATTCTCCCTCAAATGATATCAAATTTTAATAAAATGTGTAAAAATTAACCAAGTTTAATTTTTAATGTTTTTTTTTGGAGAGGTTGAAGAACGGTGTTCACTAGAAATGAAAAGGCATTTAGTGTGTTAGAATATGCTCGAATACAGTCAAACGAGAGTGTGCAGCGTGCATTTTCCAGAAAATTCAATAAAAATGCACCAACTGGAAAGCAGATTTGGACATGGCACAAAAAATTCAAAGAGGAAGGCTGTCTGTGCAGGACAAAGGGATCTGGACGACCACCAGTATCAGAAGATATTACATTTGTGAAGCTGTGAAATCGGTTATAAAATCTACATCCCTCTGAATTTCTTGTTCGAATTTTGATAAATAAATCTTGTATTGTTCAACATGAAGCCTATTTGATTTTGTTTGCCCAGGACACGTAGTTACTCAGATATTCAGATCTCAAATGATGTCAATTTTTTTTGGGACACCCTGTATTTTGTGTATAATCTGTGTATATTAAATATATTTTAGTTTTAGTATTTTCTTTGTATTTTCACTTTGTTCTGTCTGCACTGTTTTCAGTATGTATATAATGCTGCCCTGCTGTAGAGTGATCACCTGAGCCTCACCACAAGCATTTCAATGCACGAATGTCCTGCAATGTTGTGCAAATGACAAATAAACTTGAACCTATATAAAAACCAGTATGGACTATATACTAGTTTCACATCGAATGCATTGAAGCCGTATCAGTCTTACCATCGCTTTTTCTTTCTTTATTTCCAAACAGCACATGACTGAACTTCGAAATACCCTCAAAAAAAACTTTCGTTTGATTATTAACAAGTACATTTTGGAACTTTGCCCACTCTTCTGACACCTGATTACATCACACAAAGCAGGTCATCAGGGGCACCAACTGAAGCTTTCGTTCATCTCCGAACGGCAGCATTAAACGGTTTTATTGTGAGCCAGGCAAGGCTGACCTTAAAACTCAGACCACTAAACTGAGAGCAGTCAGTGCTCGTAGCTGGACAGATCTGGTCAAAACTGACCTGGGTTTGTCTGCGGGGTGCGGGAGCCCGGCGCTGGCAGTACCGTGGAGTTCCTGCTGGATGCGTACGTTTCTAGGCGGCTTGGCAGCTGAATGAATAAATGCCATCTTCACCTGTCTTCCTGAGGAGGAGCCAAAAGAACAGCACAGCTGGGAACACAGAGACATTTGACACGAGCAGACTAACATCCTGGAAAAGTGAATTTTCCTACTCACATTTCTTAAAAAGCAGAGTTTGATGCTGTATGTAAACTGCTAAAAACATACCATCATCTCACCTGTCTATACTACGGCTGAATGATTCGGGGAAATACACCAATCAGGCATAACATTATGACCACCTCCTTGTTTCTACACTCATTGTCCATTTTATCAGCTCCACTTACTATATAGGTGCACTTTGTAGTTCTACAGTTACAGACTGTAGTCCATCTGTTTCTCTGCATACTTTGTTAGCCCCCTTTTACCCTGTTCTTCAGTGCCCAGGACCCCCATGGACCCTCACAGAGCAGGTACTATTTGGGTGGTGGATCATTCTCAGCACTGCAGTAACACTGACGTGGTGGTGGTGGTGTTAGTGTGTGTTGTGCTGGTCTGAGTGGTGACATAAAAAAATTAGTATTCCACAATACTTAAAGAAATTTTCCCAATGCAACACAATATTTTGACACAGACAAAATGTGCAAGTATTATCCATAATTCAGTGGTTGAGATATAAAGTCATTCAGGGCGGTTTGATATGAAATGGTTTATTGTAGAGAAACATATTAACTCTTAATAATTTCTTCACCGTGGTGGTGATAGGAACCAGGGTCACAATGTCTACCATGAAAATAGTCATTTTCCTTATTATCCAAAAATATCTCCATCTGTGAGGGAGCTTCTAGAGGTGGACATCTGGTTCCTATCACCACCACTGTGCGCAGCTCAGACTCACTTTCTCTAGAACAGAGCGTTTCACACCAAACCACTCTGTTTACATCTTAACCATTTAGTTAATCCGTGTAATCAGTGTAATCCCCACTCTAACCTAAACTTCTGCTTAAATATCCATTCAGTTTACTCTTTAAGTTCCTCCTTAAGCAGTGGTGGATGAAGTACACAAACCATGTGCTTGAGTTAAAGTAGAGATACCCAAGGTAAAATATTACTCCAGTGAAAGTAGAAGCTCCTCCCTTTAGACCTCCACTTGAGTAAAAGTACTAAAGGATTTGCCTTCAAATGTACTTAACCACTGAAAGTGAAAGTACTAAAAGATTAATTATGGCTCGGATGTCATATTACCGGTTTTGTAACAAGACTCGCTTCATTAACTCATTTTTGGTGAAAATACTCCAGTGTCTCTCTTGGTAAACCAGTCTTTTAATAGAAGGTCATTAATTAGTGACGCTGATGTCTATTAAAATTATCATAAACACAAAACACAGAAGGCAAACAGTTTCCATCAGGTAGAACTGAGTGGCTCTGAAATCACTTTTTACAAACAAGCAAAGTTTCAGTTTAAGATTTATTTGAACTTAGTTACAGTTTAAGTTTAATAAAAACTTTAAACTCAGGTTCACAAATGAGTTTCCTTTACTAAACTGCATCTGTAGGTCTCTGTTCATAAACATAAACTAGCCAAAACTAATTTACTATAAAATGAAATGTGTTTGTATAAATTCAGTCACAACTGCATATGTGTACATATTTCTATATTGTGGTCTGTTTACACAAAGTTAGGTTAGTTCATCATTTATGTTGAATAGACTCTCCCAGAATTTTACACTGTTTCACTGATGTTGAACCGTGTGCTGCACTGGGTCGGTATGACCAACAGGTCAAAACAAGCTCAAAACAAAGTGACCGCTGTGCTCTGATTGGTGTTCTGCTTTGTGCTTCTTTTGTTTTTGACATGTTACGTTTTTATACACACAGAAGCCAAAAGGAACGACAGATTTCTCATAATGTAGTGGAGTAAAAAGTGAGATATTAGACTTTGAAATGTAGTGGAGTGAAAGTAAAAAGTCACCCAAAATGGAAAAACTTCAGTAAAGTACAGATACACGAAAAAAATACTTAAGTACAGCAACGAATTACATTTACTGCATTACTGTCCACCCCTGTCCTTAAGCCACTATTGTGTAACCCAGGGATATTGCGAAAGCGAAAAGACTGCATGCCAAAACCCGCAGCTCATCTTTGGTACCCACTAATCACATGTACTTGGCCTAAGAACAGGTTTATGAATTTTTAATATAATTGCTAAACCCTTCCTTTAAATAAGTGAGCAGCAGTAGCAGCTGTTGAACAAGTTATACTGAGGTGCTAACAAGTGTTTTGTAATGCAATCACTACCCAGCGCCCAGCCAAAAGGTCATCTGGGGGAGGGGCTTTCACAGAGGGGGCTGACAGGTGAACGAGAGTGCCACATACTGCACCTTCTGGGTGACAAGAGTGTGAGCACAATACGATTTCCTGGAACACAAGGCCAACAGTACCTTCTCAGAGCACTGTGTCATTAAAGTCAACCTTCCATCAGAATTTCTACATAATTTCATTGGTTGAGATGTAAACAGAGAGATTCAGAGTGGTTTGGTGTGAAATGGTTCAGATGTCTTTACAGTGGTGGTGATAGGAACCAGGGGTCGCCATGACTACAACACAAATATAGACATTATTTTTACTGTCCAAAACCACCAGTGAACCTACACGAGTCTTCTGAGTTTATATGGAATGTTGAAGATGGTAAAATAGTGATAAATCTGGACAAATCTGAAAGTTTCTTTGGGGACTATTTTGCTTTGCCTTTCTGCAACACGTATTTATTTATTTATTTTTTAAAGGTCTCAGGCATCAGGCAGCGCATTCATAACAATTTCTTGTAATAAGTTCCTGTAAGGGGGCTTCTATAGGCATTAAAGGGCCCATATCCTACATTTTTCTTGTATTTTTTTTTCCCCAATTGCCGCCAGTTATGACATTTGTCTTGGTTTTATGCACCAAAAACAGTCATAATTAATTTCTACAAGATAATTTTCCAACCTCTCTTTATCTCTTAGAATTAAACCAGCTGTTTTTCTCAATGTGCCTTTAAGACTGATTTATGTAAATGAGCTCTGAAACATCTTATCTGCGGTCATGTAAATACAACAAATCTGTCTTATATGCTGTGTAAATATGCAAAACAGATATACATTTATTCATATTCTCATACTTTATTCTAACTTGTGTATTTTTTATTTCTGCCTAATTTATGTCTTTTTTTTCTGCCTAATATATGTACGTTTATGTGCAAGTGCATGTTTTGCTACTGTAACACAGGAATTTCCCTTCAGGATCAATGAAGTTCTATCCATCTATCTTTCCATCCATCCATCTATCCATCTACCTATCCACCTATCCACCTATCTATCTATCTATCTATCTTTCCATCCATCCAACTATCTATCCATCTACCTATCCATCTTTCCATCCATGTATCTATCCATCTACCTATCTATCCATCTTTTCATCTATCCATCAATCCATCTACCTATCCATCTTTCCATCCACCTATCCATCTTTCCATCCAAGTATCTATCATCTACCTATCTATCCATCTTTTCATCTATCCATCCATCCATCTATCCATCTTTCCATCCATCTATCAATCCATCTACCTATCCATCTATCAATCCATCTACCTATCCATCTTTCCATCCATGTATCTATCCATCTACCTATCTATCCATCTTTTCATCTATCAATCCATCTACCTATCCATCTATCCATCAATCCATCTACCTATCCATCTTTCCATCCACCTATCTATCCATCTTTTCATCTATCCATCCATCTATCAATCCATCTACCTATCCATCTATCAATCCATCTACCTATCCATCTTTCCATCCATGTATCTATCCATCTACCTATCTATCCATCTTTTCATCTATCAATCCATCTACCTATCCATCTTTCCATCCACCTATCTATCCATCTTTTCATCTATCCATCCATCCATCTATCCATCTTTCCATCCATCTATCAATCCATCTACCTATCCATCTATCAATCCATCTACCTATCCATCTTTCCATCCATGTATCTATCCATCTACCTATCTATCCATCTTTTCATCTATCAATCCATCTACCTATCCATCTATCCATCAATCCATCTACCTATCCATCTTTCCATCCACCTATCTATCCATCTTTTCATCTATCCATCCATCTATCAATCCATCTACCTATCCATCTTTCCATCCATGTATCTATCCATCTACCTATCTATCCATCTTTTCATCTATCCATCCATCCATCCATCAGTCCATCTACCTATCCATCTTTCCATCCATCTATCTATCCATCTACCTATCTATCCATCTTTTCATCCATTTATCTATCCATCTACCTACCTATCTACCCATCCATCCATCCAGCCTTCAGTGTGAGTGGGTGGGGCTAATCTGCTTGTTAGCTGAATAGGTGGATATATGTAAATGAGTTGTTTCTCTTGACATCACAGAAACAATGGATTCAATACAGATGTACAGTACACTTCGAAGCTTTAACAACATTTACATATTACTTTAAACTCCTTTATTATAAAAAAGGGGGGAAATTCAGTTTTTCATGATACTGAGCACTTCACTTTAAAGCACTCTCAATGACTCTGCCTGCATCCATCCATCCATCCATCCATGAAAGGTAGGAAGGCTTAAAGAAAGTGCTTTTCAATACTTTAAAAATACTGGGCCTCATTCTCCAATATCTTAAGTTTTTCTTAAATGTGTTCCTGAGTGTGTGTAGATTCTGTTCTTACCTGAGAACAAATCCCAAACAAGAAATCATTGGTGAAAGTCAGAATCTTCGTGTAAACTGCGTAAGTTTGTTTTAAGAAGAAATTTCTACTTAAGAACGGTTGGTGAATGAGGCCCAATGTCTTCCAAATAAACAAAGCATCTTCTAATTAATGAGGGCTTCAGTCTGACCAGACAAACTGTCTGCTATTAACAGTACAGTGAGAGGGAAGAATATGATGCTTATTTAACACTTATTTCTAACACAAAAATAAATAAATACATAGTAAATATATTTTTAGAAGGCACTTTCATTAAATTTGTATGTTTTCCAATTTCTAGTGTACCCGAGGGAAATTGATTAATATCAGATTTAGGGGAAATCCACTGATTTTTCAAAATTCATCCATAATTCAGTGGTTGAGATGTAAAGTCATTCAGAGCAGTGTTATGTGAAATGGTGCATTGTAGAGAAACTTATTGACTCTTACAGATTTCTTAACAGTGGTGGTGATAGGAACCAGGGGTCACAATGTATACTGTGGAAAATAGCCATTTTATTTACTATCCAAAAGGACCAGTGAACCTACACGTGTCAAAACATCGTCTCAGACAGGCAGCACATTCTTAACCACTTCATGTAAGGTAGATTTTAAAGCCATTAAATGCTTCAGACGTCTGGTTCCTATCACCACCACTGTGAACAATTCTGACTTGGTAGGTTTCTCTAGAATGGAGCATTTCATTCCAAACCACTCAATGACTGTTTGCATCTTTACCATTTAATTATGCAGAAAACGTTGAAAAACCAGTGGAATAGACGACCAAAACTGGCATGTACAAGTGAAGAACAAGATTATGCGATGCAGGGTGGTCTAAGACTGGGCATGCAAAGCACAATCCCCTGACAGTTACCTTTGGGCTTCCCAGAGTGAGCCAAAACAATGCTTTTGGTGAGCCGCTGGAGTTTGCGCTCTCGTTCCTCAAACAGCCTAAGGTACAGCTCTCTCCAGGACTCGTACTCCTCCAGCTGGGCATTCCTGAAATCCCTCTGGCAGTGCCTTTCCCACAGGTGATCCGTCACACCTATGTATACCTGTGAGACAAACATATAAAGGAACAGAAAGTACAGATCACTGTGAGGCCGATGTAGTCCACCAGAAGTCAAAAACCCTGGTGTAGAGTGGCTGTGATTGCAAGGACAGGAGTTCATGACTGTTTTACAGGGTCGTCAACAGCCATTCTATATCCATGCACGTCTCCTCTGCTCTGAATGCTGTTTAATTTCTGTCAAAAGGGCTAATTAGACTAATTTAAGCCAATTACAAAAAACTACTCTTCGTCTTCTGCAAAAACATCCTCATGCACATCCCTGTTCAAAGTTATTTTATCTATATCATCTTTAAACTGTATTCATTTTTAGTCTTGAAGAAAGCTCTGCTCAGACTAGTCAAAAGCTCACAGCAAATCTCAGCCAGTTATTTTTACCATGCAGTTTAACATTATAGTCTATAACTCAGTGGTATCGAACTATTGGGCCAAGTTAGTTTCATGTAGCCAATCACATATTTACAATACCCTTAAAATCCGGCAAAAAAAAAGAAAAAAATCCAATTTTTTTGCTATATATTTACACTTTACGGGGGATTTGCTTCACTCACCAGACGCTGTGTCTAGTTACCCAGAACTAACTTTATAAAATCAGCTCAGGCTGATGACTATGATGTTAAAAACAACGCTGTAAGCAAGAGGAACAATTCAAACTAAAACCTGACGCAGCAGGTTCGCTGCTGAGTGTGCATGACTACTGTAGCTATGACTAACTTTGCTTTTGTTCTAATATAGACTGACAGTTAAATCTGCCTTCATGGATTCAATCAGGACACAGCAGCAGATACAGCGTTTCAGAATTAAGAAACGAGAGGAATTATAAAACAAATCCACTGAGAACACAGATTTAACTGCAACACTTCACTGACAGCAACTCCACACAGGTTCATCAGGAATACAATGCTATCACAATAAGAGTCCCATATAATTCTTCTGCTAAATGTAAGTTTTCTTGTTTTAAATGAACACTAATTAAAACATTGAAACATCTTGTATTTATACTACTACTATTCATGTTCATAATAATGATAATTATTATTATTAGGATTATTATTGTTATTACAACCCCGCAGACAGTCTAGGGTAGGGGTTGGCAACATGCGGCTGCGGAGCCATAAAATAATCCTCCTTTGCTGTCAAATAAAGCCCTGCTGATTGCTCTAATAAAGTTTTAACAATAAATGGTCTTAAATGCTGGAATTAATGTAGCCTACAACTACTAATTCAACCCTTAACCCTGAAGATCGGCTAGCAGACTGCTGGTCACTATAGCAATGCAGACAACAATCTTGCCTAGCTAGTAGCTAACGAAAAGGCAAAGAGAGAGATTTAAAACGAACAATGATGATTTGGAGATGAACGGACTTATTTGCATTTATAAATCACTCCAGCTGGTTTCCAGATGCATTTAATCTGCGAGAAACTGACAAACACTAAAAAGACACAAAGCGAAAAGTCAGTTTCTCGTTCGCCAGCTTCTTGTTCAAATTCTCCCGTTCCACCTTAAATGGTGCAGCAGTTACATTCGGGCACTTCAGGTATCATTTAAGGTGGAACGGGAAAGTTCGAACAAGCTGGTGAATGCGAAGCGACTTCAGCCTCACAAAAAGTCGTTTTCAAGAAACCGTTCTGCTTTTGAAGAAAAGTTTCCTGCCTGAGATGCGAGAAAAGCGTCTATAGCTGAGCTAAAGCTTAAAGCAGAGCAAAGTAAGTCTAGATTGTCATTTCTATTATATTGATTTATTTGTTTATTTATTGTATTAGTACATCAGCACATACTGAGACATAATTACAGCCAAAATGGTAAAATGGACATAACATGTTGTGGCAAGGTGGTTTGTTTCAAGGACAAAATGGCTCTTCTTTACATTTGGGTTGCCGACCACTGGGTAAGGGTAAGGTGGGGAAGGCAGGAAAGTGTGGTGTATCAACCAGGAAAGAACAAGACAGACAGACAGACATGGTTAAGCCTGGGTATGTAACAATTAGTAGTATTAGTATAATAGTAGTAGTGGTGGTCATAGTAGAAAAAGTCGTAGCTGTTGTGGTTTATGGTGACAGAATAATTGCTGATAAAGAGTGACTAATATTCAGTTAAATGAGTGTGTTAGGCAGCTAAAATTAATCCCTGAAAAAAAAAAGGAAAACATGTGTTTGCCAACACTTCACTCACGATAACTACACTTGGATTCATCAGGAATGACAAGGACATCACAATAAAAGTCCCCTATAATTTACCTGATTTTACTTGATTTAATTAAGCACTAAAACATTTATTTAAACACCATATATTTATACTACCAGTACTTTTTGTAGTTGTGCAGTGAGAGAATAAATCACTAATCACATCAACTAAGATGTGCCTAAATGAGTGTATATGTTATGTAGTTAAAATGTATGGTAATGCTGGGTAAACATTAGATGAAAAACTCAGAGCTATACTGTAGCTGCTAAAAATTAAATGACTCTAACTAGAGGTCAACAGGGTCAGTGCTTGGCAGTATACCAGAGATAAGAAACAATGCTCACTCAGGAAAGACTGCATGAATCAATGAATGCTAAGACTGCCAACTGCCAAACCTACTTTTCACACACTGCCCGCCACATTAGCATTATTTGATGTGACTGTTCCTTACAGGGTTGCACTCCTCGATCCGCAGAAGCTGCTCGGGTGTACAGCGCTCCAGCACCGGCTCCAAAATCTCAAACGGCACTCCCCCGATCTCATAGAGCGCTACAGAGTGAAGAGGAGAAAACCTTTGGGATGAATCGCCACTTAAACCCATATGAGCACAAGACAGATGGTGTGAAACACTCACAGTCAATGTTGTTTTGCAGCGTCCGGATGCACTGCTGGTACAAGGTCATCATGGTGGGAAGATACACAACCTTACTCCCAGAGTACACCTGCATCTTCCTGTTCAGCCGCTGGCCGGTAAACACCGGAGCTTCCTCAGAAACATCTGCAGGCTTGTCTTCCACTGGAAAAACACCAGTCAAGGGTAGAAGATTCTAAAGATGCACTTTGAATAAATACATTGTTTGCTTTTTGGCAAAGACAGCAAAGCGTAAAATGGGAAATATATTAAGACTAAGGCCCAAACCCATTTCTTCTTTTTACCCCTACCCCTTGTCTTCGAGTGTCACCCTAACCCCTTGGAGCTGAGTAACAAGGGTAGTGGTTGAAATCTTCCCTCTGAAATGGGACCCTCAAATAAAAAGAGCATCACTTCATTAACAGCTACCAGCGCTGCTCTGTAGGCGACCCTGCCAGTCTGCAGTGACAGCAGAGGAGGGTAAAGTTCAGCTCCTCACTGCTGGGCTTTAGTTACATTTAGGGCATCATATGACTTCAAAGAGGGAGGCAATTATTTATTATCACCCACCCCTAATTCTTCAGTGATATGAAGCTGAAGTCAGATATTCACCAGCTTCTTGTTTGAATTTTCCCATTCCACCTTAAATGGAGCAGCAGTTATATTCTGGCGCTTCAGGCATCAGAACTGCTGGACTATTTAAAGTGGAACGGGAAAGTTAGCTAGCTAGCTACCGAGGCATTAGAATGCTATTAATTATTTTTTATGCTTGTTATGAAGAAAACGACCATAAATCATTGAAAAGATATTAAAATAAGGTAATACAGTGATTATCGTAACTTTTTAAACAGAGAAAATTCTCACATTTGTGGGTTTCTTTGGTCTCTTGTTCTCCATCTTGCCGGTTTTTCTTTTTTTCTCATAACTCTCGGTTTGGAGTCCCTGAAAAACCTCCGTTTGGAGGGCCATGTAGCCCTAACACTTCGCCCTCCCCCTCTACCTCAACAAAAATTGGGACACCCTACCCCTAGACGTGAACGTGCAAATCAAAGGGCTAAGGGCTAAGTGGTAGGGGCGAGGGGAGAAATGGGATTGGGCCTAATCCTGGACAAGATTATGCCCCTAACAGAAAATCCACTACTAAAAAGAAATCCCACAAGCACCAAGTTGCAGCTCATTAGGTTCAATATTTCACACGACTTTCAAGATACATCTACCACACATGTGAGCAAGGTTTAACAATTATTGACAGTAACTGGTCAGCCATCCTTTGACCCCCTACACTCTAAAAAAAAAAAGATGGTTCTTCAACAGTTCTTTAGTAAAGACAATCCATTTCATGCTTAAATAGCTCTTTGCATGGTGAAATTGTTCTTCAGATTGTTCCATATAGCACCAAAAACCTACTTAAAATAGTTTCTATATATAACTATATACACACAACACATTCTGCATCAATCTGAAGGTGATCTCACCACACAAAGAAGCATTTAAACATGAAATAGTTCTACACTGAACTCATGGTTCCATTCCCTTTACTAAAGAACCCTTGAAGAACCATCTTTTATTAAGTTTTGGGAACTAATGCTTGACAAAAAGTATGTGCCAATGGAATAAGATACTTTTACTGGACTTAAAACATCATAAAGCTTTGTCTAGAACCTTATAGCACTCTTAGAACAACCTCAAAATGTGAATTAATGTCTGTATTTGTGTCTGTACCTAATATACTGGCAACTCAATGTAGTGTGCAACCAGGCTTAATCTGTATTCAGGAATTCAATACTGAATGTTGAACTAATTTAATTATGCTGTACTTTATTACTTCCTTTATTCAATTTGCATTTAAAACATCCTTTAAGTAGCTGTTATTCATTTTTCAGGAGATATTTCTGAGCAGACAATGTAAGATAATCCACTTGCATGAAGAAGAAGAAAGTTAAAGAAATTGAGGGAAAAAAAAAGGAGTTTTCAAAACTGGAGTTCAGAGAATGATTAAAAGCTCCAGAGAAAACAGGCCTCCTAACAACCACCTGGAAGACCTGGTAGACCCCAAAACTGCCCCCATCAGATAAACAGCACTTAAAGCTTTCATCTCTGAGAGAGAGGAGAAAATCAAGCTGCTTCAGATCTGAAAACATCCACAGGTGTTTCTGTCCATCCTTCCACTGTGAGAAGACGACTCAGCGCTGTGGATCTGAAAGGAGGTGTAGCTGTCAAGAAGAACCTCACTGAGAAAAGGAGAAGAAAAGAAGCTGAACAATGGACTGACCACCCCAGAGTCCAGACCTCAACACCACTGAATGTGTTTGATTACTTCAGAAAATCATCAACCAGCTTCTAAGACTGAACTTTGGAGGTGTGTCTGCAGATTCTTTGAGGAACTGAAAGTGAGTCTCCTGAAAAGAATGGAAGCTGGAATAAAGGGAAAGAGTGACACAATAAATACTGATGCTTCTGTGTAATTTCTGTTAAATGTTTTCTTACCTTGTTTGCTTTTTCATAGCAAAAATGATAGCAAGTGAAAAAATCTTAAATATTGTCATTATATCAAATATGTCTCATTATGAGATTGTTGTGAGAATATAAGACTTTTCAACCCATTTTTTAAGTTAAATAAACCTACAATATTCTAACAACCTCCTAATGAGAAATATTAGATATATTTACGATTTTAAGTTTTTACTTGCTGTCATTTTTTCTCCAGTGTTCCTACTGCTGAAAATGGAGTAATTTGTACTTAATGGTCATTTGGACTGTAAATTAAATAAATTAAGTACTGTAAGTATTTCAGACATAAACAGAAGTTAGGACTCACCTTTCCTCTTTGCAAAATACTGATACTGAGAAAGATCCTCACACTCGGGGGAAATTGGGGGGAGTGGAATCTTGAGCAAGTCCAACACAGATCCTTTTGAAACCTAAATGCAATGAAACGCATCCCATCAGAAACTGGAACCGTCTATGAACGAGGCCAATATCTCAAATAGCTACCGTTGTATCCGATTCCTCTTTTACAGCCTTGCTTGACTTGATGCTGGGGACACACACCTTGGCGTCCTCCTTCAGGTCCGTCTTCAAACGTTTCTGGGTCTTATCGTCACATGACTTCCTCTTCCGTTTGGGAGCCTCCAGGTCGTAGCTCAGGTAAGCCTCAAAAGACATAGAGGGCGTTTCGAAGTCATCGCTCTGAAGGTCCTTCTCAGTATGAGCTGCCCTTGGCTTACTTCTCTTCTCCCCACTGTCCTCCTTTTTAATGAGGTCTCTCTTCTTTTTGCCATCTCGCTTCGAAGAGCTCGTCTTGGTGGGAGTTTTGGTTCTATGCTTGTTTGTTATGTCAGAAACTTTTTTCTCAGGTTTTTTTTGCTCATCTTTTTGCTCTGCATGGCCGTCGCCGCTTGATTTCTCTTTGGGCTGGGAGGATTTTTTTGGGGTTGGTGACACGTGCTCCGAGTCAGAGTCTTTCTTTTCACCATCTTTGCCAGCTTTTGATTTGTCCACAGCTCGTTTCACTTTACTTTTACTATCAGAATTCTTCGATGGTTTGCATTCAGAGCCAGAGTTTTCATTTTTGGGCTTCCTTTCAGAGTCGTTTGTGTTCTCTGGAGTCCGATCGCTTTCTTGAACTTCAGACTTAGACGGCTCTTTCAGAGGAGGAGGCTGAGGCTGAGTAACACTGGAGTTCAAAAAACACCAGAGAAACAAAATTCGCCATACCAAATAGTAAATATGATACAAATACTACTTATAAAAAATAACCAGAATTAAGAGGGCTAGACAGATACTAGCAACAACCTGGAATACCACAGCAGCACTTTAGCAACCACTTGAGATCACAGCAATATCCTAGCAACACCTTAGCAACCACATAGGATTCCACAGTAACAGCTTAGCAACACATCAGCAACCACCTAGAATACCATTGCAACAGCCTAGCAACCACCTAGGACACCATAGCAACAGCCTATCAACATCTCAGTAACCAAATTGGATAACATAACAACAACATAACGCCTGAGCGACCACCTAGGACACCATAGCAACAGCCTATCAACACATTAGTAACCAAATTGGATAACATAACAGCATAGCAACACCTGAACAACTATCTGGGATACCATAGCAACAGACCAGCAACACTTTAGCAAACACCTAGGATACCATAGCAACAGTCTATCAACACCTTAGTAACCAAACTGGATAACATAACAATGGCATAGCAAAACCTAAGCAACCACCTGGGATACCATAGCAACAGACTAGCAACACCTTAGCAACCACCTAGGACACCATAGCAACAGCCTATCAAGACCTTAGTAACCAAATTGGATAACATAACAACGGCATAGCAACACCTGAGCAACTATCTGGGATACCATAGCAATGGGCTAGCAACACCTTAGCAATCAAATGAGATTGCCCAGCAACAGCCTAGCAATACCTAAGCAACCACCCGGGATACCATAGCAACAGCCTATCAACAGTTGGTCAAGCCAACTAAAAGTTTATTCATGAACTTCTCCTTTCTAGCTAAATTTTACTATTTAAAACATCACTGCTAGATTTGGGGCCTCAGTACCTTGGAGAATCTCTCGGAACCAGCTTTTTCCATCGGTGAACTAACGTCTTGGCCACTTCCCCCGCGTCACTGTGTTTGCGAAAGGAGTTCACCACTTTACCAATTCCAGTCTCCTACATAAATGACAAAAGTTATAAAGAACAACAAACAATTTGCTTGCTTTGTAGGGATTTTCAAAAGTGATAATCTCTTACAGCAAGAATATCAAGTGTTACGTCCAGTTGTTGAAGCTTCTTCAAGGTTTTCAGCAGCTGAAGCAGAAAAAAAAAAGATTTCTTGGGAACTGTGGGACGAAGACGATATCAGTATGTTTAATGTATTAAATGTAGAAACTTGGACTAAATCCGCCCATGTATTTTTTAAAATCTAACAATTACTTTAGATGCAGTAAAATGAATAGTTTGAAATCTGTCAAATGGGTCCAGTGCTGATTTGTTTTAATCAATTATCAGCCAGCTATACATTTCTAAATCCAATATCACCCATCCCTGATTCAAAGACATAACGTCATTGTCTTATTTTTATTCAGTAAATCACTGAATAAAACATGTATTTTCAGTGTTTTGGTACACAAAATCAATGCACACCATTTAAGGACAAAACCCAGCCAGCTCACTAGAAAGCCTGATTTGCTGAGCAAACAAGAATGGCAGACTCTATGTATGGAAAAAACCTCATATGCAGCGACTCCATTGGCAAAGCGCTATAAATGGGCAGTGCAACACCCACATAGGTTGTAAAAGACCAGCCAGCATGCATGTGCGAAAAAAGTCACATGTACTAAAGAATTTCAGCACATATTAAAGGGTTCCAGTACAGATTTAAAGAAGGACACAATCACTCAGTTCATTACAGTCATTTAGCAGAACATATAGACTATCTAATCACCTCGCGCCTGCCTAATTCTTTTTCCCCCAGACTGACAGACGGGCAACAGGAGAGACAACTGCAGCAGTATTTTTAGCCTAGAACCACTCAAACCCCAACCCCCTCTATCATGTCCCCACTCAGCAGTAGCAAAAGGCAGGCCACCTGCATGAGAGCAGGCTGTGGATCCGAATGCAGGCCCCACAAGAACATCAGTGAAAAGAAGCCACTGAATAATCTACAGCAAAGCCGAGAAAGCGTCAGAATTATAATCCATTTTAAGCAAACCTGAGACCAAGTAAAATGATCTTAAATCGAGTCACTGTATCTAATATTTCAAACTTTGAAAGGATTGTAATATTATAAGATTATATAACTTCTTTCCAGACATTTTTTTACTTGCTTTAAAAATGCTGGCAGCTGCTTTTGCTTATTTCAAGCACATTTCTTAAAACAAGCTAAATTATCTACCCATATAATGAGACAACTTTCCTTAATAAAATCACTTAAACCAAGTAATGTGTCTTGAAATATGTTAAATAATCTTATATAAAGCTTACAACACTCAAATAGAGATAACTGCACGGCAAAAAAAGAAAAAAAAATGGTATCTTGTCAAGTAAAATGATCTTAAATCGAGTCAATATAACTCATATTTCCAACTTTGGGATGGCTGTAATAATATTATAAGATTATAGAACTTCTTTCTAGACATTTTTTACTTGCTTTAAAAATGATGGCAGCTACTTTTGTTAAAACAAGCAAAGTTATCTGCACATATCATGAGAATTTTACTCAAGAAAATAACTTAAAACAAGTAAAATATCTAGAAATATGTTAAATAATCTTATCATAAGCTTACAACAATCCCACCATAGGTAATATTAGATATATCTATGCACATATTAAAGGGTTCCAAGATCATTTCACTGGAAAAGACACTTTGCAGTGTGGAATTGTGCTTTATTTCCCATTACCCATCGCTCCGGTACCAAAGGGTACAGTTTTTTTGCTTTTGGTATCTGCTCAAGACTGGTAGGGACTAATTGCACTCAAGGGTGCTCTTTCTCAGCATTCTGGGAACACTTGCACTGAAGTCACCAATAATTTTAGCAAATTCTTTACTCTGAAAATAAAGTCACCAAGCACTTATATATTACCAATAAACGCATCAGAATGAAACTAAAACGCTGATGTGTCTCCTGTTTTTAGAATTATTACCTTGTAATGAGTTTGCTACAATGACATAAGCTAGTTAGGAAGCAAATTACCCAAATTAGACACTGGATAACATGACCAAAAAGACAGTTACATCAATTAAATTGTGGTTATTCTGTCTCAAGCAAGTGGGAAATGAACTAGAACTACAATCTTAAAGGGGAATCCAATTATTTCTCCATAATTCAATCATTGGGGATGTTAAACCGCCTCATTCAGATATGGTTCACTGTAGAGAAAATGACAGAATTTTTTAAAGTGGTGGTGATAAGAACCACCGACTGCAATGTCTATAACACTAAACAGTCATGTTTATGTGTCTGAGTTTTTATATGTAATGTTGATAATGGTAAATAGTTATAAATCTGAAAAATATATTTAAAAAATACCTTGAGGACTATTTTGCCTTGCAATGCCTTGTATCTTCCCACTGTAGTGTTAAAAAAAAAAAAACTTTAGACCAAAATCAATTTCTCTGACATCAGACATAACCAGTTTATGTAATAACTTACTGTGAAGGAGGCATTAAAACACTTAATATATCTAGTTCTTATCACCACCACTGTACAATCCTGACTCAGAAGGTTTCTCTGGAACAAAGCATTCCATATCAGACCACTCTGAATGACTATGTTTACATCTTAACCATTTAATTATTGAGATTGGTGTTTTTAATTCGGTGGAATTCCCCTTTAAGTTCCATACCACTCATTTCACACGACTTCTAAAACCCAGCTGATAGACACAGGGCCTTAGGTCTCCCTGGCTGATTGCTTTAAACAAAGACACACTGCCAACAGCCCCAAAAATCTATGCAGAGCAATCTGATGAGCACCCCATGGTCTTAAAATGCATTTTTTGTGGTGTATAATGAGAGAAAAACGATACCGTGTGCCCTTCGGTGCTTTCTTTAAGCTGAAGTTTCAGCTGTAATACTTTTTCCACGTCTGTCGGGGCCATGACGGACGCGCTGCCTTTAACACAAGAAAACCTCTCCAAACCCGGCCGTCATCTTTATATGGGGCGGGGACATGGACCACCAAACACAGTTCATTCTTTTCATAGTGATAAATGGTCAAAAAGGCCAAGAAAATAAAAAATAAACGTGTATTTGAGCCCTGTTGTAGCAGACGATGCTGAGTTACGACTCACGTTAACCTACGTTGGTTCAGCAGGCGGCTGATGGGTTTGTAGGCCTCAGTGTCCTAAAATGTCAGCAGCCTGTTTTATTTATCTACGAATTTACTCTTACTTTGTCCCATTTCATTCAGAATTGGTCACTCATCCTGATATTTGTGTTTAGATCAATTCTCCCACCACTTTGACTGCTTTGTTTTTCCCCTTGTCACTTAGCTAGGTAGCTTAGCATAGCTCACTTAGCATAACCTTTTTATACCAGACCAAAAGTTCCAGAAAATCAGAAGAACTGTAAAAGGTGGAACAGCGAAGTAGTGGGTTTGGGGTTTGTTGAGGTTTTAATTGTTGTATTTGAAGGATTGTTTGAGTCAAAGTGTTTATTTGGGTTGAATAAAATCATTTAACGCGCGTCATTAGCATCCTCTGCTAACAGCTACTGGGACGCAACGGGGTTGAAATAAACGCGTTTTCTTAATTTATTGGTCTTTTTTATTGATTTGAAGTGTTTTGTGGGTCTTAATTTGTATACTGGGTGAATTGTTTAATTAAAATTGCTTATTTTGGGTTGAATAAAATCAGCTAGCTACATCGCCTGCTACCACAGGAAACCATTTTCACAGTCCACCTTAAATAGCGCAGCAGTTACATTGTGACGCCTCTCCATTTAAGGTGGAACGGAAAACTTCGCATAATAAGCTGACTTCAGCTTCAGTTCCCGTGCTTAACAGATGATGGATGTGCTATTATTATACTTCAGTTGAGTTCTTTAGTGAAACTTGCTCGTACTTGAGGATTTCTGGACTTGATAAAAGTCTTTATTTCAGTTAGGTACCGTTATTTTTACCCCAGTTCAGCTATAGCTGTCACAGCTATGCCCAGAGTGAGCTGTAAGCTCATCACAAGATTATTTAGCGTATTTCTAGGCATGTTTTACTTATTTTAAGTAATTTTATCAAGTAAAATTATCTCACTTTATTGGCATATTTCTTAAAATAAGCAAAACTATCTGCCAATACAGTGAGATCATTTTTACCTGATAAAACAACGTAAAACCTCTACAAAAAATAAGCTAAATAAACTTATAATAAGCTTACAACACTCTCAACATGAGAAATATTAGATATATCAACTAGATTTCAAATAATTTGTTGTTTTTGCAGTGTAGATTTAACAGTTTAAAGGGTTAGAACTCTTGTCAGTTCTTGCAGTCTAGGGAAAATAATTATTATAATAATAATATTAAATGTTCTGCCAATTGTTCTTAAGAGAAAAGTTAATAAATAAATAAATGACAATGTTAGAAAGTTTTTTGAAGAATAATAATATATCTTTTAACTTTTTTCTCAAGTATGTAGTTAAGAAAAATGGCACATTTAAGAAGATTTTCTTTAAGACACTGTTGTGAGTCCGGTCCTCACAGAGTGAATGAAAGGAGCAGATCTCCCATGCTGTGTTTTATGGGCTGTTAGAATAGGGGGGTCTTGCTTCACGTCGTAATTGCGCAATGGTCTCTCTTCCCACAGGGACAGAGGAGGAGTTAGCTGGCTGGCAGTCTTTACTGACCACTGGAACAGTGTCTCTCTCTCTCTCTCTCTCTCCAGCACACCAACTTGGAGGTGCAAGTCCTTCCCTTACCAGCACCTACTTCATCTCAGCACAGGTAGGCCAGATTTACACTATTGCAAACTGTTGGAGCGATCAGAAGAAGCTATTTCTACACTAATTAAACTTTTTTCGTTTATTTCAAACATACCTGGGGAAAAACAGATAGGCACCTATTGGGAAAACAGATAGACACTGGATTGCTAAGCATGTAGGTTGTACATTTAAGCCATTTCAATTAATGGCAGACATTCCAGTAATGATTTAATGGTTATTTAATGTTTATTTCTTAAACTAAGCCATCTGGAGCTAGCTGATAACGTTACTTTTTAATTAACGCCTCTCCTGGATGTAATTTAAACACAGATTATAGGCTAATTAATCAATAACTGAGGACAATTTGATATTACAATTACACATAATGGTAAACATTACTAATGAACAAAGAATATAGCGAGTATCCATGCGGCTGTAGGCCATGACACAAACTCTATAAAAGGAACTTAAGGCCAGAGCTATCCGGCGCTGCTATTCCTGGATATGGTTGTGATAAATCGTGACAGATGGAGAGAGAGGAATGTGACACTCTGCCATGCGATAACGGCTCTTAAGAGTAAATTCTGCTATTTGCAGAATAAACAGTATTGGTGCACTTACAAGATAGACCTTCCATTTGCATGTAGAATTATTATGTTGTTTTAAGTAAGTGTTTCTTAAAGGGCCCGTATCATGTGAACACAAATTGCCCTCGCTTTTTAGAAATGAACACTGCATGAAAGTCGCAAAGCATACAATACAAATGCAGTATAAATAAATGCATATGCGGAAAATGAGCTGAAAAACACTGTTTTGAATTCACTGTTTTTGTGATGTCACAATGCATTTACATATCTGTCTATTCAGCCTACAGCAGTTCTGTCCCTCCTATTTACAAGGAGCAAACTGTTTTTTCAGACTGGTATGTAAATGAGCTCTTGCAATTCAGGGCAAGAGCTCATTTACATATCAGTCTTAAAAGCACAGTAATAAATACAGCCCGTTTGATTAAAAGGGATACAGAGAGTTTGGAAAATGGTCATGTAAAAGTGAGTATGACTTGGTGTATAAAAGCACACAAATATCATAAGTGTACTTTAGAGAAAACAGGAAAATGCAAGGAGAGTGTAGGATATGGGCCCTTTAATGCTGCTTCTAGGGACACATGGCACTGCACAGTGTCCAGTCTTTCCACCGGATCCAGCTCATCATCCGATTTTGAAGCTCCTCATGAGCTGGATCGGTTGTGCTGGTGCATGGAATAGCTCAAACTGTTGCTGTGGGTTAGCACACTGTCAGGAAAAAGGGTAAATGTACTTTCAAAGGTACATCATTGTCCTTAAGGTCCAATTGTGTATTTAAATAATATTTAAATTGAGTTTTAAAGGTATGACAGGGTCTGTAGAATCATTATCTATCTATCTATCTATCTATCTATATATATATATATATATATATATATATATACACGTGATTTACCCTAATATGTATGCACTATAATATGATACAATTATGTTTCTTAACTAAAGATACTGCAGACGTAGAGGGAACCACCACAGTGACAGCATTTATGTTGCACTAAATTGTACTAAATAGGACTAATTATGTTTCTTTGTAATCAAACATGCAGTTTGTATAGATATTCAAAATATCCTCAGAAAACCATATTGTGGCAAATTGAAACATAAATTTTAATAAATATTGTCATATTTCCCAGCCTTGCCTTTTTTTCTGATTGCAGAAGCTGAACTAAGAGGCACTGCTTTAAAGGGCCTACATCTAATATTTTTCTTGTGTATAATTTTTCCTCTGCTGGGGTTCCACACAGCTCCAGCTCCCCCTGAGACCCAGAAGGAGAAGCGGCTTAGAAGATGTGTGTGTGTGTGTGTGTGTGGGGTCCACACATAACGTTTGTGTAGTTTTTATGTGTCAAAAACAGCTGTAATTCATTTTTACATGACCATTTCCCACCATAGAATTAAACAGCCTGTTTTAATTTATGCGCTTTTAAGACTGATATATGTAAATGAGCTCTGTTCTGATTGGCTGTCATGCAGTCTGGGCTGAAACGCTTCTGTGTGAATGTGCAGAGCTAAACTGTGGACTGAATTGAAGGATATATGTAAATGTGATGATTTTTGTGACATTACAGAAACAACAAATTCAAAATTTGTGGCTTCATATTCCATTAATAGATTGTAAGGACTCATCAAAAGCTTTTATTAAAAAAAATGTTAATGAAAAATTCAGTTTTCCATGATCCCTTTAAGCCATAAAATACAGAGTGATGTCGTTTGTAAAACAATCTATCTATTTTATATTTTCTTCGTTTCCCCATAACAGTGCAACGTGATCTTTAAAGACTGTTTTTCCCAATTTAGCACAAATGAAAAACCCAGGTCTTGAGACACTGAAGGACATCAAAGTCTCTGTCCTGAGAAGATTCTCTGTGACGTTATAGCCTTTTTTTCTGTCACATGACCTACTTATGTTTATTCACTCAGGTCTTGGCTGTGACCAGCTGCAACAGTCATGGCACCCAAGAAGAACAAGGCCGCGAAGAAGAGCAAATCAGACATCAATGAGATGACGATCATGGTGGAAGACAGCCCGATCAACAAAATCAACGGGCTGAACACCCTTCTGGAAGGAGGCAACGGTTTTAGCTGCATCTCGACGGAGGTCACCGACCCCGTCTATGCTCCTAACCTCCTGGAAGGCCTCAGCAACATGAGACAAGAGAGTTTCCTGTGTGATCTGACGGTAGCAACCAAGTCCAAGTCCTTTGATGTGCACAAAGTTGTGATGGCCTCCTGCAGCGAGTACATCCACAACATCCTCAAGAAGGACCCAGCCGTCCAGAAGATCGACCTCAACGACCTGTCCCCGGTCGGTCTGGCCACGGCCATCACGTACGCCTACTCCGGAAAGCTGACCTTGTCGCTGTACACCATCGGCAGCACGATTTCCGCAGCCATGCTCTTGCAGATCAACACGCTGGTGAAGATGTGCAGCGACTTCCTGCTGCAGGAGATCAGCGTGGAAAACTGCATGTATGTGGTCAACATCGCCGACACGTACAACCTGAAAGAAACGAAGGAAGCGGCTCAGAAGTTCATGCGCGAGAACTTCATCGAGTTCTCGGAGATGGAGCAGTTCCTGAAGCTCACCTATGAGCAGATCAGTGATTTCCTGACAGACGACTCCCTGCAGCTGCCCTCTGAGCTCACAGCCTTCCAGATCGCCATCAAGTGGTTGGACTTTGATGAGAAGAGACTGAAGTATGCCCCTGATCTGCTGACGCACATTCGCTTTGGAACCATCTCGCCCCAGGACCTGGTCAGCCATGTGCAGACCGTCCCCAGGATGATGCAAGACCCAGAGTGTCACCGCCTGTTGGTGGATGCCATGAATTACCACCTGCTGCCATACCAGCAGAACATCCTGCAATCCAGAAGAACCAAGGTCCGCGGTGGCCGAAGAGTGCTGCTTACCGTGGGTGGAAGACCAGCCTTGACTGAAAAGTCCCTCAGCAGGGATGTTCTCTATAGAGACGAGGACAGCATTTGGAACAGACTGACCGAGATGCCTGCGAAGAGCTTCAACCAGTGTGTGGCTGTGCTAGATGGCTTCCTCTATGTGGCTGGTGGTGAAGACCAGAATGATGCCAGGAACCAAGCAAAACATGCCGTCAGCAATTTCTGCAGGTAAGTGTCCTCATCTGTGTTTCAGCTCCCAAGTGACGCAGTCATCTATGTGTTTTAAATGGTTCATATCATGAAAAAGTGAATTTCTTCACTTTATTAAATAAAAGAGTTACACGCAGGCTTGTCACACTTATTCTGTAATCACCTGATCCTAAATATTTTAGCTGATCACAGTTATTTTCCACAGTTTTTACAATCGTAGTTCACGTCAACCATAAAGTGAATTGGGTGTGTATTTGTCAGTTGCATTGAGGCAAATGCATATGATCACTGCTGTCGGAACAAAACCGCGTATCTCAGTTTTTAGACATAATTTGACAGTTCCTGTGGTCCTACATATTGTGTGTAAATTTTATGGGAACAGAAATGTCCCATCGAAAAAAGTCTGGTTCCATTGACTTAAGTTGACTGAGTTTGATTTTTCCTTCTATGGTAAAGTTCTCATTTTGGAGATACAAGGTTTCGATCTGACAACCGTGATATTCTGCTATAACACCTTTAAAGGGCAGCAGTGAGTTATGTTTATTTATTGATTTTAATAACACCTTCAAATGGGGTAGTGAGTAATGTTTGTTTATTTGAGCTGGAGCTGTTGGAAGCAAAATAAAAAATCAGCCCATCTGGCTTGTACTTTAGCAGTTTTATAAAAGTTAAAAAAAATGGTTAAATTATTAATTGCAATTATTTACATGGCACAATGTCATGCTCGTGACTAGCCTAGTTGGATGTAGTACATAAACACTGTTTCAAAACACACTGTTCAGCCCATACATATAGGCTAAAATAAATAAAAAGCTTTTTTTTTGTGATGTACGAAAACCAAGTCATTTACATTAGAGATGGACCGATCAGTGATTTTGGGGTTGATGCAGATCGTCGATCTCAGTACAGTTTTTTCAGACGAAAGAAAAGGATGTGATTTTAATGTAGTGTGACCTTCACACCAAGTCTGAAGCGTTTTTCTGTCTAAACATTCTGAAAACATCCTGACACACGTTTGTTTGGGCTGCAACCATGACAGTGGAGCCTGACTTTAAAAGACCCATACATTACAGAAAATAGAGCCTTCTCTGATTAAAAATGTGTACAGCATCGCAGTCCATCAGTTTTGGACTTGGTTTGAAAGACGGCATTAACATATGTGTTTATTTTCAAAAACTTGATAGGCCTTTAGTCCTGTAGTCAAAAGTCAAAGGGTCTGTATTTCCATCTGGAGTTTGAAAGCGGAACTGCAGGGTCCTGTGATCAAGGAGCCTCGCACAGGGCTGCAGCAATCCTTAACTCATGACATATGGCTCATATGTTTTTCATCACTGATCAGCTCTTAGGATCGGCTAAGGCAGAGAAATAATGGCAAATCGCCTATTGCATATTTAGGCTGAAAATCGGCCAATACCGTTATATAGCCGATCCATCGTTCCATCTCTAATTTACATATCTCCACCTACTCAGCCTACAGCGGTTTAGCCTCGTCTGGATTCTGTCTTCAGCTTTTTTTCTTCTTTTTAGTGGACAATGTGCCAACATGTTAGTTTGTCAGAGAAATGTATTTTAACTAACGGCAGTCTAACCTATTTAGCAATAAAAGTTATGCTATCTCTGCCTTTTCAGGTATTAATAATACATCCTTAAATTATGACTTTCTGTATAAATGCTATGCGCCCATTTTAAAATGACTTTGAAATAAATATTGTTTTTTCTGCCCAGGTATGACCCCCGATTCAACGCATGGATCCACCTTGCCAGCATGATTCAGAAGCGTACACATTTCAGCCTGAACACCTTCAACGGTCTCCTGTTTGCTGTGGGTGGACGTAACTCCGATGGCTGCCAGGCTTCTATTGAGTGCTACGTTCCATCCTCCAACCAGTGGCAGATGAAGGCCCCAATGGAAGTTCCAAGATGCTGCCATGCCAGCACAGTCATAGATGGCAAGATCCTGGTAACCGGCGGTTACATCAACAACGCCTATTCCAGGGCCGTGTGCTCTTACGACCCGTCGACGGATAGCTGGCAGGATAAAAACAGCCTGAGCACCCCAAGAGGCTGGCATTGTTCCACCACTGTGGGCGATCGGGCTTACGTTCTCGGAGGCAGCCAGCTCGGCGGTCGCGGCGAGAGGGTGGATGTCTTGGCGGTTGAAAGCTTCAACCCTCATTCTGGCCAGTGGAGCTACGTTGCCCCCTTGCATACAGGAGTGAGCACAGCAGGCGTTGCCACCCTGAATAGCAAGATCTACCTCCTGGGCGGCTGGAACGAAGTTGAGAAGAAGTATAAGAAATGCGTTCAGGTGTACAACCCCGACCTCAACGAATGGACTGAGGACGACGAGCTGCCCGAGGCGACGGTGGGCATCTCCTGCTGCGTCATCACCATCCCCACCCGCAAAACACGAGAGTCCAGGGCCAGCTCGGTATCGTCCGCTCCAGTCAGTATATAGGTGATGATACAGGTTTGATATGCACAATGATGCCGAAATAGGTGATCTCAAACTTTTCCTGTCAGATGTTCACACTGAACTTCAAATTTAAAATAATCAAACAAACTTCCCTTTTCACATCGACAAGCTGAATATGCTTTAATACGTTTTGTTACAGTGAACATCACCTATTATTTATGGGCGACGTCTTTTATAATTCGCTTTTAATAAATTGCTGATTGCCTTTTGATGTTTTTCATTTTTTTGATGAATTTGGAAGTGTAAAAATAGTTCAAAGGTTGTGAACACTGATTAGAAATCTGCGGTTGGGGCTAGATTGGTTGACTTAAACAGGAAATAACAGGAAATAACAACTCAGCAACTTTCAAACACACCTCACATAATAGTTACACTGGGGCCAATTCTTCTGTAATTATCAGCCCTTCTCAATAACGAGGCAGATGTAGGGCACGGTAGGGTGCTAATATGCCAAACCTGGTTTTTCAAAAGTCGCAAAATAATGATATTTAGGTCTATAGACGATTGTATATGATATACTTTACATGTCATATATATTTATTTATATACAGATTAACTTGCGATGCAAAATGATATCTTTGCCAAAAAAATCGCTATTTAAACTTGACCAATATTTCAAACAAATATTTGATGGTGTACTTAGTCTGTAATGCTAATCCAGGTGGATTCAGTCCAAATATCTACACTTTATTAGTGTTTATGTGTCGGCATCGGCAGATACATACATATTAGCCCACAATTCCCATATTGGAGCACCCCTCAAATTAACAGTCTATTTAAAGAGTAATTTACTAGAGAAAGAACAATAAGCAGAACTTTTTCAGAGCTCTGACAGTAGAGCTCCTCAGACATGTTACACATGCTGCAGCAAGCTCACCACGATCCAATACAAACTGAAATGTAATGATTACATTTCACCCAGACGTACCTACCAGGTGTAGGCGTGTTAGAAGCAGTTCAGTTTTACTTTCCCTTCCAACACTTGAACAGAAAATCTAAAGAGCGCTCCTCGAAGTACTACAGCGAATGGATACCATAACTGCCTTCACCACTCAAAGACAGGAAACCTGAAGAGAGTCATAGAAAGTTAGAGAGTTCATCGTGTAAGGGCTTGTTTTGTAAAATGGCTGAATGGGGACTGGATGTGAAGCTATGTGCCTGGTCTGTCTGGACGAGTTCCTGACAGCTCACGACAGCAAACTGAATAATGTGACAACCGCACACAGTGATGTGTTGTATCCGGGGGAAAATGGCTACTCGAGAGGAGAAACATTTGTAATTATGCTGATTCATCATGTCCACGTTCTACATATTTATTAAAGGTTCCTATAAAATGTTGTTGACCTCTTTGTTTTTTCTTTTTAGTGCCTTTGATTTCCTGTAATAAACACCACATAGAGTTGGTGACTCTGCTTGCTTTCAGGCTCCACAAATACAATCGTCGTATCTAGCATTTTGTTTTATTGCAGAGTTTATTATTATTTTATTATTTTATTGTTTTATTCAGGTGTCATTCCAGTAAAATCTGTAGGGAAAGCGGTGAATGTAGAGATGGTCACAGCTCAATTTCACAAAAAAAATGGATTTAAAATATTTATTTATTTATACTCGCAAGCGTTTTCTAAGTGAAAATAGATTAACACATCATATCTACAGAGGCCAAACTTAAATAGAGCATTTTTGTGCTATTTCTGCTAATATTTATTTCTATTTGCATACCTTTAACATATAGGAATAAAATATGAAATAAACTTTTGCAAAGGCCACATTTTATTTTTTACATAGTGTATATTATACCACAGAGCAGGTACTATTTGGGTGGTGGATCATTCTCAGCACTGCAGTAACCCTGACGTGGTGGTGGTGTGTTAGTGTGTGTTGCGCTGGTCTGAGTGGATCAGACACAGCAGTGCTGCTGGAGTTTTTAAACACCTCAGTGTCACTGCTGGACTGAGAATAGTCCACCAACCAAAAATATCCAGCCAACAGCGTCCTGTGGGCAGCGTCCTGTGACCACTGATGAAGGACTAGAGGATGACCAACACATCTACATCTACAAGGTGTAATGACAAGGTAGGAGTGTCTAATAGAGTGGACAGTGAATGGACACAGTGTTTAAAAACTCCAGCACCACTGCTGTGTCTGATCCACTCATACCAGCATGACACACACCAACACACCACCACCACGTCAGTGTCACTGCAGTGCTGAGAATGATCTACCACCCAAATAATACCTGCTCTGTGAGGGTCCATGGGGGTCCTGACCATGGAAGAACAGGGTAACAAAGCATGTAGAGAAACAGATGGACTACAGTCTGTAACTGTAGAACTACAAAGTGCTCCTACATGGTCAGTGGAGCTGATAAAATGGACAGTGAAGGTAGAAACAAGGAGGTGTCAATTAAGTAAAACCAAATTAAAAAAACGAACTGTGTAAATTATATATATATATATATATATATATATATATATATATATATATATATATATATATATATATATATATTTATGTATCTAAGGGGGCCATTTTCTTCATGACCCAGTATAATGGCAAATTTTGTTGTGTCACTCTACAGATGCAGTTTTAATAGCGTGTCCTTCGCCTGCTAGATGCCTGAGGAATGATTAAAAAAGCAAATAAAGGAAAAAAAACATACTGAATACCTAGCTAATCCCTCAGCCAATCAGAAAGGCAGTTCAAGTTGCGGGAGTGGCCACTGTCTTTTCTGCTGTTATTAGAGAATATTAGTTATTGAGGTCATGATGGGATAGGCTTCCTCTGATTCTGCAATGTCATACCTCTTAGTGTATATTCTGGCCAGTTATCCTTTTTAATACAGCTGCCAAAAACCCTTATAGGCAATACCTTATCTTAAGCCAGCAGGTAGAGACTGTAAAGCTGGTCTCAGATCAAGGTGAAAGGCCATGTGACACCACAAGGAGTGGTCTATAGTGCACTGAGAGTGTCAGCAGTGCAAGCAGACATGCCTTTCAATGCTGACACTGAAATTAATTTGCAATGTCAAATCAAATTAAACTAAATAAAGCCAATAATAATAATAACGACTTTGACTTTTCATCCCAGAACATCCAGAAACAATGAGTGATCTGTGCTACACCCTTGAAAAGGTTCTTGAAAAGTTAAAGTAAAGGCAAATGTTTGTATATATAGAATCACGGACGCAGAAAGAATGATTTGAATGTATAAATGATTTTTTTCATGGTTAAATGTTTCCTCTATATGACAGAAAACCTGTTCTTTAAATAACCTATTTAAAACTGGTTCAGTAGAGTACCAACAGGGTTCTGCTGTTGTTACAAGTCATAGAACCTTATTTGTTTATTTATTTATTTAGTGCTATATAGAATAGAATGAGCATGTATAGGCCCACTCATATCTGAAATTAAAGAACTATGTAAAATAAAGCTGTAACTAAGAATTACATTATTATTATTATTATTGTTGTTGTTGTTGTTGTTGTTATTGTTATTATTATTATTATGAGCTAGGTGTGTTAGCATTACTGAAAGGACAGGTTTCCCAGTGGCTTGCCTTAAATCACTGTTGGTATTATTTGTTGTTGATGATGATGTTAAAAATAATAATAATAATAATAATAATAATAATAATAATAATAATAACGATAGTAGTAGTAGCATTTATTATTATTAACATAATCATCATCAACAACAAATAACACCAGCACCAATAACAACTACTGTATTATTGTTAATTATTAATTATTGTTAATTAAGCGTCTTGCATAATGTGTTGCTACCAGAGCTCCCTAAACCTGAGCTGTCCCTCCTCCTAAACCCTCCGACGCCCCCCTCCTCCAAAATCCTCGGACTAATGCTGTTTTTTCCATACACAAAGCACACAATCAAAATCAAAAGGTTAGTTCATCTACAGAGTCCTTTCAGAAATAAACCCAGAAAATAACATTGGGGAAAAAAGGACATGAACAACATGCACACAAGAACTCGCCACAATGATAGTACAAATACTTATGATACTACTAATAATAATAAATAATAATAAATACTATTACTAATACTACTTCTACTAGGACTACTACTGTTACTAATAATAATATTAATACTACTACTTAATACTTACTACTACACTACTACTACCACTACTACTACTGGTTGTAATAATAATAATAATAATAATGATAATAATAATAACTAGAAGTGCATTTCCTGAAGTAAACACGGAGTGGTTGTGCAGCGGTTACTGTGGAAGCCTGTAGGAGGAATGAGGGATGAAAAAACTACACATAGAGGAGTGTGGGTCAGTAAGGTGGTGGTTTAAAGCTTGGAGACCTAACGTGAGTGAGTACATGTACTTTGGTGGCTGTCTGGGAAAAAGACAGATTAGGGCTTTTATTGTGAAAGATAACGAATGAGACTCTATGGGAGGAACGAGGGATGAAAAAGACAGCAAATAGAGGAGTGCAGGTCAGTGCGGCTGTGGATTAGAGCTTGGGGACCTGCCCTGAGTGAGTACATGCATTTCGGTGGCTGTCGGGCAAAGAAGTAATAGAGTTTGAGTGGTGGCGAAAATGAATGAGACTCAGTGAGAGGAACGAGGGATGATAAAATGACAGAAAGAGGAGTGCAGGTCAGAATGACTTTGGATTGGAGCTTGGGGACCTGCCCTGAGTGAGTAGATGTAGTTTGTTTGCCGTCGGGTAAAGAAACAAGAGAGTTTGAGTGGTGGCAAAAATGAATGGGACACTATGGGAGGAACAAAGGATGAAAAAACGACAAATAGAGGAGTGCAGGTCAGGACGGCTGTGGATTAGAGCTTGGGGACCTGCCCTGAACAAGTACATGCATTTTCGTGACTGTCGGGCAAAAAAGTAATAGAGTTTGAGTGGTGGTAAAATGAATGAGACTCAATGAAAGGAACGAGGGATGAAAAAATGACACAAAAAGGAGTGCGGGTCAGTATGGCGGTGGATTAGTTCTTGTGTTACCTAAGTGCAATTCCACCTTACAGTTACAGTTACACCTTAAAAAAATCATCATGTGTGCTGATACTGCTGAGCATTAGGCTGGGAGCGGGTGAAGCATTGGGCTCCGTGCGTGAGTTTGGATGGGTGTGTGAGTTAACGGCATGCTGCCAACAGTCCGCTCAATGTAAGTCTATGAGAGAAACAAATGATGGAATAAAACGACAAACGGATGAGTGCGGATCAGAACGACAGCGGATTCATGCTCGGGGGCCTGCCCTGAGATAGCGTATCAAAAATGGTCTCGTTCGGACAAGCAGAAGCACCTTAGATTGGCATGCAAATGTTCACCCCATTCATTCTCAATGGGAAAAATTCCGCAAAAATCCATTGCCACACGGAATCCGCGCATCCGATCAAAAAGCTGTATACAAGCACGCATCACACAATCAGGCCGGACAATCTGGGGTTGGAACGGTGTCGATATCTCGAAAACTAATAATAATAATAATAATAATAATTTTAAAGAGTGTATTAGTTTCCTTTTGTGATCAGTTCTACACTACGTAGTGCGCTGCTCTACCCGTGGATTTCTGCAGTGTCATGATTACAAACGCCTCGAGCGCCGTCGCCGTGGCAACGGCGCTCGGGCGCGTTCGTACGCCAACCCGAAGTGACCCGCGAGGCGTCGGGAGCGCGCGCGCGCGCCTCTCTGAGCGACCGGCTGCTGAGTCACAAGATGACGCGCCTCCGCCTGCGCGGGTCACGTGAGGCGCCATAAGCGCTGAGAGCGAGAGAGGGAGGGAGAGAGAGAGAGAGAGAGCGAGAGAGGGAGGGAGAGAGAGAGAGAGAGCGAGAGAGAGAGGGAGGGAGAGAGAGAGAGAGAGAGAGAGAGAGAGAGAGAGAGAGAGAGAGAGAGAGGGGGCGGGGCCGCCGGGCTGCACTCGGTTCAGTCCACACTCCGGCAACCGAGCGAGGGTTTTTATTGAGGACTCAGCGCAGCTCTACGGTTCAGTGTCCGCTGTCGAGCTTCTGCGTTCGCCGGTGTTGTTGTCGTGTCGGTCCGCTGCTGCTTTCCCGGCGTGTGCGTGGTCTCGTGCGCGAGCGCCGACCGTTACGAGGTGCCGGATTAGAGTCGGTTTAAAGGCCTCTCTTTAGCTAAGTTAGCTAGCGGGCAACGTTAACCTTACGAAAGCGTTGCTGAGGCGACCTCGGCGCCGGTTTATCTCTCATTTTGCCCTCGTTTATTCCCCGGTTTCAGCTCCGTGTGAGGCGAGGCCGTCAATTCGGGGAAGAATAAGTGGCCCCAAGTTAGCTAGGTTAGGTTAGTTAGCTAGCTGTTAAGTGAACGAGCGGCGCGGTCAGTTTGTGCTAG